CTGAATACTTATGACCCTGTGATATTTCAGTTTTTCTTTTTTAATAAATCTGCAAAAATGTCAAACATTCTGTGTTTTTCTGTCAATATGGGGTGCTGTGTGTACATTAATGAGGAAAAAATGAACTTAAATGATTTTAGCATATGGCTGCAATATAACAAAGAGTGAAAAATTTAAGGGGGTCTGAATACTTTCCGTACCCACTGTAGGTTTCACTTCTAAAAAAAATAAAACCCCAATATTCATGCATTGTTTCAGAAAGACTTGGTCTCTGTTCCATATGTTGCATCTTTTTGAGGAACTCTCATACCTGACCTGAACTGGAAGAAAATTTGGACTTTGCCTTCTAAGTATCTGATTATTAATAAGATAAAAGAAGTTTCTTTCAGAATTATCCATTGATATTAATCCTCCAAGGTCTTTTTACAAAAATTCAGAAAAGACATTGCTCTTTTTGTGAACTATATCTTGAAGATCTGGATCATCTTTTTTGGACATGTCCACCCTCATAAAGTTTGGGATGAGGTCAGTGATTTCATTACTCAACACGGTGACTGTAAGTTTGTACTTTCCTTTGAAAATGTTCTATTTGGTTTCACAATTTATTCTTCAGCTAAACTTAATGAATATTTTGTTATTAACTTGATGCTCTTAGCTAGTATAATATTTATTTAGCTTATTAGCTAAACTCCATATTCATAAATGTATATACAATGAGAAGCCACATTTCTTTGTATTTGAAATTAACTGTTGTCAGTACATTCAAACAATTTTATATTCTGTGAGCAAAAAAGCTTCTAAAACTGATCACCTATATATAAAATTATTTTATTTTATTTTCTATGTCAAGCAATGGCCCTGTTCATTGTGTTGCATAAAAAACATGGATGCAATTAAGAAGTCGAAGTAGAAGAAGAAAAGGGAGGAGGAGGAGGAAGTAATACGCCTCGATGCGTCTACGCTGCCTTAATAATAGAAGAAGAAGAACGACGTCCTTATTATTAGTAGGCTACCCGAAGAAGAAGAAAGGGATATTATGTAGGCTATGTACTTCCTAGAGGTGTATTAACATCTTGCATGCATCGTGTATGTTAGTGTACGTAATAGAAACTCAGTCGCCATCATTTCATGTAGTGTAGAGAAGTTGTAGCAACCGTAGACTTGAGCTATCGGCGTGTCGCTGGAGGAAACGGACTATGTCGGGAAATAAAACAAAGAAAGTCAAAATGGCTACAAAATCTTGTCCTGAATGTGACCAACAGGTGAGAAAATAAATGTTCTACAGATTGCGTACGTTATGCAGACTACTTTAAATAAATTAATTTACAACGTGGGGTACTTGCCAGCAATGAACAGAGAAATGGAGTGGAGTAGTAGCCCCAGTGCACGCTGATTAAACGACAATGTCTTAAAACCCAACTTAAAGGTTGAACAAGTTAGCTGATGGGTTTTCTGCTTAGCAAAGAGAGCTTTCGTGTTCTCTGAAATATCGATCTAATTAAGCTACTTAGGAAGGTATCGTTTTGTGACATTCTTGTATTCAACTCATACAAAAGGGGAGAGCGGTCAAGCGAGCCCCCACAACGCTTTCCGTTTTGTCTGTGGGCCCCTACTGGACTCGTGAAAACTGTCTTTAAAAAGCCAGTTTCCGGTTAATCTGATTTCACTTTAATTCAGTCGGTTAAAGATAAGTAACGGGATTAATAAGCAAATAAATAACAATAAACTGATACCAAAATAAATACATAATAATTCAAATTAATACCCAGTTAACCAAAATACCAGCACATTAGTGATGGCAGAAATGAGGCTTTCCGAAGCTTTGGACCTATTGCTTTGGAAAATGGTTTGTTGTTTTTTAAACATTTGAATCATTTTCGCTGGCAATATTTGCTGGACAAATGCATTTTAATACATTAAACTCAAGAAAGTAATGACTTAGGAGGTGTATAGTTGAGTCGTTTTCACAGTACATTGGGTGTAAATAAATCGTGTGACAATAATAAATCTACGTTACACTTATAGACGTGTTATATATGAACCGGTATTTATACAGTCAAGGCCAAAATATTGGCACCCTGCATTTCTGTCAGGTAACACACCACTTCTCCCAGAAAACTGCTGCAATCGCAGATTCTTTGGTATTCTCATGTTTGTCTTTTGTTTGCAATGGAACAACACAAAACCACCCAAAAAAGCCTAATCTGATCCATTCCACACAGAACCCCAAAAATAAACTAGACAGAATTATTGACACCCTCAACTGGTAGCCCACCCTTTGGACAAAATAACTAAAATCAGTCACTTCCTGTAACCATCAGCAAGTTTGTTCCACCTCTCTACTGGAGTTTTGGACCACTCTTCTTCTGCCAGCTGCTCCAGGTCTCTCAGATTCAAAGGCTTCCTTCTTCCAGCTGCTGTTCCGAGATCTCTCCACAGGAACTGTAAGGGATTTAGACCTGGACTCATTGCTGGCCACTTCAGAACTCTGCAGCTCATTGTCTGAAACCATTTCTGGTGCTTTCTGAAGTCTGCTTTGGGTCATTGTCCTGCTGTAAGACCCATGACCTCTGACAGAGACCCGACTTTCTGAAACTGTGCCATACATTGCGCCACATAATTCGTCAGTAGTCTTCAGATGTCATACATAATGCCACACACACAGTTAAGACATCCAGTGGCTGAAGCAGCAGAGCAACCCCAAAACATAAGTGAACCTCCACCGTGTTCTTTTCTCTGAAGGCCTCATTTCATTTTCTGAAAATAGTAGAATGATGTGCTCGACCAAAAAGCTCTATTTTAGTCTCATCTGTCCACAGGACATTCTCCCAGAAGGACTGTGGCTTCCTCAGGTAAGTTTTGGGAAACTCTAGTCTAGGGTCAAAAACAGATTACACATTTGGCCTTAAAAAATTAAGACAACTTACTAAAATAAATTAAAAACTAAAAGTTGACAAAAGAAGGTAAATTAGAGTAAATGTGCAGTGCAAGTAAACATAAAATTGTTGTAAACATAATTTGTAAGTAACACAATTAGTTTTTTCTTTTCCAGAAAGACAAGTCTGTCTACATCATCTGGCTTTAAGAGGTAGATTAAATGTGCTAAATATAAACATAAAAGTATACAACTAGAAATTGCACACAATTTGTCAAACTTTTACATTTTTTGTGTCAGGAACACTAGACTGTCAACAGTGTCTGGATTTAAGAGGTAGTGCAAAAATGTGCAAAATGTAAACATATTTAACATGTTCAACTTATTCATCAGAATCTGTAAAACGCAACACTTTTTTTTTTTAAGACCAGTCTCAGTCTGTCAACAGTGCCTGGCAGAGGGAAATTAAATGTGCAATAAAACTATAACATAAAACAATAACATTTCTAGCCAGTGCACATATTTTGTAAAAAGTTTACAGATGTTTTGCCAGAAAGACTAATCTGTCCACTGTGTCTGGCTTTAAGGCTGCCCTGTTGCAGGATACAATATTACCCCCTGTGCTAAAAGCACGCTCTGAGGGTGAGCTTGTGGCAGGAATGCAGAGGTAACGTTTGGCCAGGAGGCTCACTCTGGGGTATGTTGGTGAATTAATCTTCCACCACG